CAAGCAAAAATAAAAGGCAAAACTTTGGTAAAAATTAATAAATAAGTTAAATGTGAAATCATATTTGCTCTTGTATTCTTATACATTTTGCTTTTAGGACTTTTTTATAATCATGGTATGTACATTTTCACTTCCAGTGTATGTTTTTCTCACTTCCTTTTTCTTTTTCCCTAAAATATTTATGTTCTATCTGGTCATAGGATGATGAAATGCATTATGCTATAAAGTTATATTTTTGCCTCTTCCTTTGTTTCCTACTATCTTTATTTGTAAATAGAGACCAGTCATTTATATGTGATTGTATATTGTTTTATGATTTTAGAAAGTTTTTTTTACAGTTTTACTTGCTAATTTAGCTTTGGTTTTTTTATTAATTTCGGAATATTTAATTTATTAAAAAAATGCTTTTCATTGCAAGCTAAAATGCTTTTATGTAGTAATAAACATGGCGGACTGTCCGTGTGCTTTAAGCATGTTTTAGAAGTTTGCAGTTTGTTTATAATTAAATCATTTTAGAAAATGTACCATATAGTTTAGATCTTGATTTAGAAGTGACATTTTGTACTACTTTGGTTGGGAAATTTTTAAAATAAGGAACGGTTTTAGTTATTGGATGGAGGTAGATTTTTAAAGACTGAATTAATTTTTTAGCAATTTCCTACTTATTAGCACACTTGAGTAGGCTTTTTACTTTTTTTATATATATAAAAGCTGTATGATCATTTTGTCTTATGTTCTGTCGTTTAAACTTTTTCTTAAATTTACACAAGCTTCTTCATAACTTATATTAGGAATTCCATCAAAAATGATATATGTCCTTGATAGTTGTAAGTTAGAAAGAAAGTTTTTGGATATAATTTGACTGTGGTTTCCAGATTATTTGTAAAGATGTCATGCAGGTAGAATATGTACTTGCAACAAACAATTCTTTGATGAGTTCAATGGAAACTCACCAAGAGGTCAAGGCTTCAAACAGATGGACCGCTTCTTGATCTGGTGGCTGCCATCCAATTTATGATATGGGGTGGGTTAAGATAGCCCGGGGTGTAGTTGTGTAGGGCAAGGGTGCTAACTATGTAACGGTAAACGAATAGAAAGCGGTAATGGATTTAACACTTTATGCACTTGCATATCGTGCTTGACACCATTTTACTTGTAAACTTGGCCCCTATTTCTAGTTTCAGTGAGCATGGCTGTTTCCACTTTGAAACAGTTCTCTAGAGGTGATTTGTGCAGTGTATTCTTAGTTTTAGTTGTGACTTCCCGTTGTTACTTTTCTTGTTATTTGCCTCATCATATATCATTAATATTCAGTTATGTCACAGAAAACATATGAAGAAGCTAACTTGGTCACACAAATAAATTTTTGCTTTTGCTTAAATATCTGGAGTGTCTTTGTGATGCAGTTAGTGGTAGTATTATTAATAATTGCAAACATCATATATCATCTGCCAACAACGAATTTGGTCTCTGATAGTGCGATGCTCTACTTCTGTTCGGAAACTGGAATTTGAAGATTTAGATTGGCATTTCATTTGTAATCATGACTTTTACATTTACAAGTGTTCTGTCACCCAAGTTGCCCTCTTTTTGAATTCTATGTTCCCAAACTTGACTTCAGTGAGCTTGCCTGTGTGGATTTTCATAGTATTGGCATTTTGGTATATTCCATCTAAGAACAAATGAGGATGGTGCTGCATGTTTTGACATGACCTAAAAGATCTCTTCCGTGTTCTTTTTTCCCTTGACAGACCTGTCTATTTATTATCAACTAAGATCCAAGATGTTACATTGTCTGAACGTTTGTTGATTGTGCTGAGGATGTATCTTCTAGCTGCCTGATAATGATCCCGTATTTTTCTTTAATTAGAGATCTTACTGTTAGTTGAAAGTGTGTACATTTTCAGTTTTAGGTAACACAAACATTGCATTTGTCCCTCATTAAAGTAGGAATAGCAGGAATTTTCAAACTGTAGTTCAGCTTCTTTAGTCTGAGTCAACAAGACAACTAATACTGGTTTTCAAATTTTTGGCATTGAATTCCATTCTTTGTTGCCTTAGATGTGTGCATTTCTAAGTATGTTAGGTGTAATTTTTTCTGAGAATGCACACCCATGCTAACAGCAATCTCTCGTTCCCTAGAGACACTACTTTTTGTTATTAAACCAGAACATAAATGTACAACAAACCTAAGGCCTGCTATTAGATGTGAATATGTAAGAGGTAGATTTAACCTGTTTATAACCTAAGTTATAGCATGTATGATTATTAAACAAAATCCTAAAGGACAGCTCCTTACACATAACTAACATCGAAAACTAAAGGTTGCAAATGCCAATGAACTTTCTTCTCTGACGCTAATATACTTTCCCATTCAAATCCACTTAGTTGTCTCAGGTTTTAGCCATGTTCTGTACTGGAAACACGGGACATCGTTATTGCTGTTCTGCAAATTTTGAAGTCTGCATTAAGTGCATGCACTGCACTTTGTGTTCTCGCATGAAAAAGTTTTTATTCGCTCTTCCGTAGTCCCATTATAAAATGTGGAATATGGGATCAAGTTATTAACTCCGTGTAAAGTGCTAGTATTTTTATTCTTGATTGTTTTTTACAAAAAAGATCTATTTTAAGTGGATCAGATCTCATTTTTACCTTTCCCATTCTTTAGGTAAAATTGCAAATGGCCAAAGTTAGCAAAGTGCGAAAGTCTGATTCACGTCAAAAAAAGGTGAATCCTTATATATGGCCATCTTACCCTAAGAAGGCTGGCAAAGGCACCCAACAGAAAAAATGTTCAAAAGCTTCAGAGAAGAAAGATTGGGAAACTGCAAAATGTTCCGTTTGTCTAGAGTTCCCTCACAATGCTGTTCTCCTCCTTTGTTCCTCTTACGACAAGGGTTGCCGCCCTTACATGTGTGCCACTAGCCGGCGCTTTTCCAATTGCCTTGAGCAATACAAGAAAGCCTACACTACAGTAACTTCAGTGGACAGTGGTTCGACAGATAATTCAGGTATTGTTTCAGGTGTGGGAGAGTCTGTTGAAAAGATGGAAGTACCAGAGCTTCTATGCCCACTCTGTCGGGACAAGTGAAGGGTGGACGGTGGTAGAACCTGTACGGAAATATCTCAATAGGAAAAAGAGATCCTGCTTGCAAGACAAGTGCTCCTTTGTTGGAACTTACAAAGAGCTCAAAAAACATGTTAAGGCAAAACACCCATTGGCACGACCTCGAGAAGTGGACCCTGTGCTTGAAGAGAAATGGAAAAAGCTCGAGAATGAGAGAGCACGGGATGATGTAATCAGTACAATCATGTCATCAACGCCAGGGGCTGTGGTGTTGGGAGATTATGTGCTCGAGCCTGGATCTCGTGGTGTCTTCAGAGACGAATATGATTCGGATGACTCTTTTGATGATGGTTTCCTTCATCTGGACTCATCTGTTAGGTTGCATAGCAGATTCATGGATTATGACCTATTCGACGATGGAGGTTTTGGGATGCACCGTGCTTTCCGTGCAGTTTCTCCGGCTGCTCGATCTAGGCCTTCTCGCTTGTTGGGGTCCTTAGGACTAAGGCGAATTCCCTGGGCCCGAGGGCATAATAGAAGCCGATAACTTTGTGTGTTTACCTATACAATGAATGGACATTTACTTAACCGCACTTGAGAGTAAGTAGATATATTTTCCAATGGTTCACATGGTGAAATTTATTGCAAGGCAGGGTAAATGAACGAATTGTAGGACAGTAGGTCACTGGTGGCTGTAGGTTCCATAGTAGGTTATTTGTAATGGAATATCATTTGGGGGGTTGGGTTCATTTGGCAGCTAAAAGAATTCAAACATTCTTTCTATTACTATCACTAGTCTCTTTGGTAGGCAACGTTTACTCGATGCTCATCTTTTCTAGTGTCGATATCAGATCTTCAATTGACACTAAGATTAAGTTTTAATATTTGTTTCTTATTAAAAGAATAAGTGAAAATGATAAGATTCTTGTGTGAAAATTCTATTTGGATTAATTTTTAGATTTAATAAATTTTCATTTCTAGTCGGCAACTAATCCATTCTGATGCACTCCTCGTGTAGCTTTGACGCTACCAAGTCAATCTGATGCACTACTCATGTAGCTTTGACACTACTATGTCAAGTGGTTGAGAGAATTGTTGTACTCCCTTACAATTTTTTATTTACTATAAATTTGAATGTCGGCTTGGACCAAACGAAATTACTATGAATTAAGAAATTAAAGGTGTTGGATCCATGAAGATTTTATTTTATCTTGATTTTTAGGTGAAAACTAAGGTGCTACCTTCTCCTGTGCTATCCCCTCTCGGCTCTCGTAATGACCGTTTGATCTAATGTGAAGAATGAATGAAGTCCATTGATGATTTCACGTGGAATAAATTTGTACCCTTTTCGATTACTTCAACTAGACCGAGAGAAAAAATTAGGACTCGATGAATTTCGATTGGATCTAATAAGGTCAAGTTTTTCTAATGGCAAGTTTTTGTCTTAATCTATCTGGTTACATTCTGTATTGCTATATTTTTCATGCTCTACTTATAGTGACATACAATGGTGGATATATATACCAACTCTAAAATCTTATTTTTCTTTGAATAGTTATTTATTTTATTGATAACACCCGTTTTGAAATTTTATTTATGCTCACTCAATTCAAAAATTTTGTTGTTAATATGTATGTGTTCACTCTAAACAAATATTTCAGAATCCGTCAGTGATAACAATTTTTCTCGCATTCTAATGCCCGAGTCTTTTTTCGTATTGATCATGCAATACAAATCACCCTTTTTCTCTAAAGTAATATCCTTTAAAAGAAAAAGAATAATTAAAAATACATTTTCTAAGTAATAAATATTTCAAGGAAATTTGTTCATAGTAATAGTATTTCTGTTTTAAAATCATTACATATTGTTTTACAGTTTTGAGTAACAAAATGGGCTTCAGTTTAGACTTTTAAGGACGCAAATCCTGCAGTCTTCCACTTACAATTCTGGGATCATCTTAATTTTGCATCAGCCCTTTCTTCGTCGCCAAACAAAAGATAATACTCTGAACATCCGCTTCAGTTTGTCCTGTGTGACAATTTTTTAAATAGAACATGTAAATGATATAAATGAACATAAATGGATAAATATACAATGATTTTACCCAAAGTTTTCTTCTCCCAGATATCTTTTTCGTCCCTCTACTGTTTCGTTCGTTATTCTCCTCGGAAGGAATACGTTGATACTTCCATCCAGATTTTGTCTTCCGAGAAATCCCCAGAAATGAAATCCCTATTCTTCTTGGCTTGATTGGACACTTCCATTTCTGTTCATCGTATCATTTTCCAACTATATACATTGACCTAATTTCGAATAACATTCGTGCATGGATATACATGATTGATGAAATCATGAAAGTGTTAAAGAAAAAGGGGAAAAACTTGCCTTGGATTCGTGCCTTGAACAAGTTTCAGTCCGTTGAATTTGGGCATCGTTATCGGCCGATCTCAGTTCTTGAGTGTAAGCTAAAAGCCGAGCCCGACGATCATAGCATTGGCCCCTTTTAGGGTTATTGGAAACAGGGTTTGGCTTGAGTTTCTTGATGGAGGGAGGTGATGATTCTGCATACACAGTTATGATAACTCCATTGGTGTTGGCCATCTCGTTTCCACTCTTCTGCCCCTTCATTTCATTCTTTTTCCCTTCTTGTTTCCTCATTGATTTGGTAGGTGTCTCCAAACAGAAACTTGGCTGGAAAATTTAACACTACTTTTCATTCTTTTAATGGACACTTTCCTTCCTCTTTTTCAAAGTTATTAAGACTAGTGGGGATATAGCCAATATTTTATATTAGGGTTGAATTATAAAATTTTAAGGATGATCTCCTCAATGTATCTCTAAAGATTTGAATAAGTGATTAGTATACTTGTGATATTCGATTCCTTAAAAAGATTTTTTTGGTATATTTAGAATTAATAATATTTTATTTAAATCTAAAGTACGAATATATATATCAGATAATACTTTGGAATTCCCTACTCTCTCAAAGAAGGATAATAAGGAAAATGGGTTGTCAAAATGACCTGCTTCCTTAACTTAGAAGGAGCAAAAATTCAACATAATGAAAAGGAGTATAATGCAAGGTGGATTTGGTGATTAACTACTTAATTGTTTTTATTATCTTTAATATTTTGTTTACGTTGCAATGCAACTTTATTTAATTATTAATAATTTTATTAGAGAATTGTTAAATATTGAGCCTTTTCATTTGTTTGTTACCCAACCCAAGTTGAAGCATTTAATCATGGGCTGAAATGTATGCCCACTTTGGCTATATGAATTAGGGCTGTAAATAAGACGAGACAGATCGCGAGCTATTCGAGATCGACTCAATCAATGCTCGATAAATACTCGGATCGAATGGACTCGACTCGAGCTCGAGCTCGAGCTCGACTTGAGTTCTTAAAGAATTGAAACGAGCTACTCGATATTCGACTCGAAAAGCTCGTGAGCAGCTCGAAAATATAATATATTAAGATTTTATTTAAAAAAATAAATTAATAATAATAATAATATTTATGTATTGATTTTTTTAAAAAAATACAGTAAGATTTCATGTATTTAAGGTTCATGTTCGAGTTTGAGTTTGAGGCTTCAATCGAGTTAAGTTTAAGATTTTTTTTTTCATTTCGAGCCTTTTCGAGCTGCTCACGAGCTTCAGTTCAGAATTTCGAGTTCGAGTCGAGCTTGAAAATTTTAAGCTCGCAAGTTTTCGAGTCGAGCCGAGCTCCATTTCAGAGTTTTCGAGTCGAGTCGAGCTCAGCAATACTCGAGCTCGACTCGGCTCGTTTACACCCCTAATATGAATAGTGTATTGCTTGCAATTGATGATTTTGCCACGTGTTGGTCATTTAGAGGTCCAACGTGGCTAGGTATAAACAAAGTATACTCCTATAGGCAACTCGTGTATGTGAACATGGAAGATATATTAAAAACAAGAAGCAGCTAGGGAAGTAGAATATGATGAAGTAGAATACAGGGTAGTTCTGCTATACGACAGTCTTAATATATAACTAATGAAAGGTATTATCGAAAATTTTAATATTTTTTAGTAAGGGCAAAAACCAGATGAAAAGTGATCAAATGGATTATACTCCCAATTCAATTTATTTTTCCTCACATTCTTTTTAAATATTTTTTTTGTTTAATTTATTAAGTTGTTTCCACAACAATAGACATGATAAACACAATCTGATGAACATAGTTGTTTTCCGACAAATATATTTCAACTTAGAAATTAAATAGAGAAACTGTTTTGCTGTGATAAAATAATTAAGGTAAATCTTTGAGGACTCGAGTTCGAGCACCATAGATGTTAATAGTGTGAACGTTCAATATCAAAAGACTAAGAGTTATCTTTGAACAGATAACACCTTGTATTTACTCTAGATTAATAAAAAATAATAATAGAGAAATCTTACAAGAGTGTTTAAATATATATATTACAAATTGTTTAATATACTAATTATTTTAGTAATATAAATAAATATTATTTTTAAAAAAGTTTAAATAGTGTGAGAAGTGTTATGAATTTTCATGTAATTTTTTTAATTTAATAATAAAAATTTTTCACGTTAAAAATGTATATCGCAAGGATAATATGATAAAATTTTCCTTCAAGTAATTTTATATTTTTCTAATCAAACACTATAATTTTACTAGAAAATTTTGAATAATTTTGTACGTTAAATAACGAACAAATGAATAAAGTGTAAATAAGAAATATATTACAAAAATAATTATTTAAATAATATTATTTTCTAAATAATAAAACAAATAGTTTAAAAATTAATTTAATAACTTTAAATTATTATAAAATGGAATATTAAAGTAATCGATTAATATTTAATTTAAGAAATTTTACATATATTCTAATACGATAAAGTTGTCATCATTTTAAAGAAATTAGAATTGGATTATGTAAAAAGAAATCAGTGATAAAAAATAATTATACAAAAGTTAAATGATTTTGATTATAAACTAAAATTAATTTAAATATATTTTAATTTAGACGCTTAAAATGTGAACTTGGAAGATTTACGAAATAAATAAAATAAAGAGAGTCCAAAATACAAGACTCAAACATGAAGCCCCATGCACCATGTGCAGTCGATAAACCAAGGTGGCTCAAAGCTTGTGCAAAGGGCCAACGTCTCTCCTCAACTTTAACCCATCAATTCCCTGGTGTTCGATAATTTTCGGTTTTTAATACTGAATATTAATATTCAAAATCGGTTAATTAACCGAAATTAAATTTTAAATATATTATATATAACATATGGGCTCAGCCTAAATCATTTAAAAACCCAATTAATAATTTAAGATCCAATAATTTTTAAACCTAAATCAATATTAACTAATTAAAAAATTCATATAAAATTTTTATTTTATAATTATATATTATTTAAATTAATTGTAATTTTTTTAATTAAAAAATATTCAATTTTTATATAAATTAGAAAAATTTTAAAAAATTCGGTTAATTCGAAAATTAACCGAATTAACTGAAATTTATTCGGTTCGGTTAATATTTTCAAAAAAAATTTAATTCGGTTAACGGTTAAAGAAAAAAAATTCGATTAATTGTAATTCGGTTCGATCGGCCACCGTTTTAACCGAATGAACACCCCTATTCCCCCCTATTCCCAATTAGGCGCTCCCGCTTGGGTTATTTATTTCTCTGACCCTTCCCATTTTTTACATTTTATTTTATTTACTCTTTTCATTTTTTACATTATTTTTTTGTTTATTTATTTATTTATTATTAATCAATTTAATTAATTTTATTTTAAAATATTAACATTTTACCACTGCATCAACAGATGTTTTATTAGTTTCTGATGTTAAGTTTTCACTGTCGATAAATTTTCTATTGCCTCTATGCATCATCACGCGACACTTCTCAATGTGCCTTTGTCCCTTTATGCGTTATATTCTCTCCTGTTTTCTCTATTATTAACTTCTGCAATATTTTTCTAAAACTTTAATTTGTTCCCTACAAAATAATAACATTTTTAATTTATAAATTAAGATAATGATAAATATATATTTTAATATTTTGATCTCTCAAAAAAATTATAATATAATTCTGTAAAAATACGATAATCTAACTTCACTCTGTCAATGATCTTTCTTACATTCTGTTATCCGAAAGGCCCGTAAAGATTAATTACCTACAAAGCTTCAGTCTTAAAAGGTTGATATCAATGTCTAATTCTAACTTCGTGAAACTCATCCCCTCTATCATGTTTGAACGTGTAAAAATATTCATATTTTACGTTATATTTAAATTCAGAATTTGAATATATATATATATATATATATATATATATATATATATATATATATATTGAATGATTTTGATGGTCAAAAAAATATTATTTTCGTTAGAGGATATGAATTTGAGAAAGAGAAAATAACCTCTGTAATACCCTAATTTTGTCCGGGCCATTAAATTTTCTTGAAGATGTTCGATAATTAATTTGACGATAATCATGCTTAAATGAAGATCTATTTCAAGTGATGAAGCGTGGAAGTTTGAGTTTGGAAGTTTTGGTGCTCAATTGGAATTGTAACCGTATATGGAAAATGAGACACAAATTGAGATCCAAAATCCAAATTAAATGTCTAGTGTCCCTTTACATCGAACCCAACTAAATTAAACACTAGACTAGCTAGACCCAAATAATTACGGTCCAAATTACATATAGCCCAAGACCCGACCTAAGTTTAAGGCCCGATTCAGCAGCTTGATCCAGACCCAGTTGTAACTCGACCCGGTCACCAGCAGCCTCACGTGAGGCTCCTTTGCCCATACGAGCACCAAGCCCGAGCTCCAGCAGCCCATGCTCCCATGTTTTGTCCCCCACGTGAATCACACAACCGAGACATCACTCTGCCCGAGCGCACAACACCCGCTGCTGTCTCTCGTGCGCCCATGTGGACCACTGCACCCGATTAGATAGAGCTCGGTTCCCCATTCCCACTAGCACCACGCCCGAGCATTCCTCGGCTCCCACATACTTGTGCACCCATGTGAAGCACTGCAACCGAGCATCCCTCGTGAAGACCCTTGTCATCAGCTGCCCATGCTCCACGAGCACACCAACCAGGGCTGTCACCCACGTTTTGCTGGCTCCACTCCCCGAGTGGCCATCATCCAGCAGTCAACAGACAAGGGGAGGGGACCGATGTTGTTGCCTCTGCCACCCATACTCTGCACCATCGAAGACATCAAATGGAACCATTAACGAGGAACATAAAAATAGTAATGAGGAATCAGGTATGAAAAATCCAGAGCAAAACAGAACAGAGGGTCACGGGCAGCGAGGGAGGAGGAGAAATAAACCACGAAACAGAACGAAAGAAACGGCAGTATAGAATCACGGGGGCATTGATTACAAGAAAGGGGGATGAGTACAAAAGCAACACACAAAAACCAGAGAGGGGGAGGACAGAACGAAAAAAAAAAACAACAGGGGACTGGGGGGCACCATTTTGAAACCTGAAAAGAGACATAAACAAGGGGCTCGGAACCAGCAAGGAGAGGGGAGAACCATTGAGCAGTAACGAAAAAACAGAGGCAATTACGAACGGTAGGCAGCAACATACAAAAACAAGAGGAAAAAAAAAGAACAAGGAGAAACGAACAGCAGGGGAAGCCATGAACCATT